ATATGCACATGAAATAATATAATGTAAAATACACATATGCATGCATGCATGTAAATATATATATGATGCATGCATGCATATATATATATATTTCTATGCTTGAATTGTGTGATTTAATACGTTCATTGTGCTTGAACCCAAACATACTATACGCACGTATAAATGTATAATTAGCAGCGTACAATACGACTTCGAAAACAAAAAAAATGAAAAGAAAAGAAAAAAGAAAAAAACCTTTAGTCCCAGTTCGTATTACCAACCGGGACTAAAGGTGCTGGCCATCGTGACATGTCAGGAGGCACCTTTAGTCCCGGTTGGTGTTACCCACCGAGACTAAAGGTCATCCTTTAGTCCCGGTTCCTGACCCGGGACTAAAGGACCCCGTTTAGTCCCGGATGGTTGCTCCCGGATGGGGAACCGGGACTAGAGGGGGTTTCGCACCGGGAGTAAAGCTCGGTTCTCTACCCGTGAGCACGCGCTGGACCAGGCCACCATCTGCTCCACAGCGCCAATAGGATTCCTCGGATTTGGAATCGACCAGTCAGGCAAAACAACGACTTGCCTAGTTGCCTTTGGTGCACATATATGGCCCACCACACGCGGTAAGAAAAGGCACGAGCGCACTGGTGATGGAAAAAGCGTTTGGCCGATCCATACAACATCTGTGGTGATCGGAAAAACGCAGCACAGCTTCCTTGGACTTTGGACGCCTGCATGCTATAAATACCGAGTTCATGCAGCTACACGAGACACAAGCTGCTAGGCTACAGCAGGAGTACAACATACATACAAAACCAGGCACAAAACGTACGCTCCTACTTGTTAGTTTCCATCCACACGGAAACAAACAAAAAAAAAAGAAAACTGAACGATGGTGCCGGTGAACAAGAGCCATGTCCTCGCTGCTCTCCTCCTCATCGCCGCCGCTGCCTGCATCGGCCATGATGCGGTGGGGGGCATTATTCCCGTTAATGCGGTGGGGGCCATTACACCTGAAAAGACTTCAAAAACACGTGTGTAGCCATTGAAAAACATATGCAACATCCAGATGAAACACTTGCAACATATGTTGAAACACCTAAAACATTTGCAACATACACTTGCAACATGCATGTATATACAACATCCAGATCTACTTTTACACCATCGAGAAGAAATATTTAATACATTCATCGCAAACACCTGAAACACTTGAAAACATATGCTTGCAACATGCGTATACTGTCTTTGCAACATCTCAGTTATACTTTTACATCATCCAGATGAAACACTTGAAACATAAGCCTAACACGCCTGAAGCACGATGTCGGCGGCGGCCATGGCCTACCTGGTGGGAACTGCGGTAGACAACAAGCTCAGGTAAGGGGGTGCGCCGGGGGCGGAGTGGGGTGAGCGGATACAACACCGATGTGAGTGCGATAGGGAAATTTTTGGAGATGGAAGAAATGTAGAGGAGAGGAGCATGCTTGTTGGTCCTGTCCATTGAGCAGGCCTAGGAAGTGGCAGCGTCCGGGACTAGATGGACGCCCGTGTGCCAGCATTAGTAAAACATTAAGGAGACATGCACACCTAGCAATCGCCTTCTTAAATGGTTAGGGGGGCTCTAAGGAAATACCTGCCTCCCATGTAGTGGTGCACCCTCTTGTTGCCGTGCGGCACCGTTAATTCTCCATGCATGTATCTTTTGCCATCGACTTGCGGATATGGTTTGGTCACGTATAACATAACTTTGTTTTCACCTTAAGTTAATTGTATACTGGTGCGTGTGCTGGGGTGCATTTTAGTCTTTAAAAGAGTGCATGTGCCTTGCTGCATGCTATTTTACGCACGTACTTATATACCCTATTTTGATGTAGATATTGGAGCCTAGAATTGGGAATTAAAATCTGGTTTCCTAAATTCTGCTGTTTGGATGTCCTTGGTATTGATATTTGGAATTACAACTCCAATACCTTGGAATTGGACTATAACTAGAACTGGGCTCCCCCAATACAAAGCATTACCCCTCTGTATTGGGTGGAATTGGGCTCTCCTGACCCCGACGCCTCCCTCATTGGTGGCCTACCCCGACGCCGCCGGCCGTCCCAGCTCCACCGGCCGCCCCAGCTCCTTTCCCAGCCCAGCCGCCCTAGCTCCTTCCCCACCTCTGACCACCTCTTCTTCCCCAGCTCTGGCAGTTCTTTCCCCACCGTCGAGCACCCTCCTCAGATCCACTGTGACTTGTGGCAAGGCAGCTCCTCGGCAATGACGTCGAGCTCCCTTCTCCTCCATCACCGCTGCTACCCCGTCGAGCTCCCTTTTCCCGTCGCGGTGGTCCCTCCTCAGATCCGCAAGGGCCTGCAGCGAGGAGCTTCTTCCTTAGCTCTACCAGGGCCTATGACGATGGGTGCTCCTTCTCTGCTCCGGCGGCGATGGGAGGAGGAGCGGCGCGAGGGCTGGGTTGCAAGTGCGGTGGACAAGCCATGTGCATTTGCCAATTCCATCATATGACATCCAAACATGAATCAATACTTGCCACGTTACAAGATTCCAATTAGCAAATGTCATATGCATCTAAACAACATAATTGGTTTTGCAACCCATTTCCAATACTACTTTGATTTGGTATTACAACCCAATTCAGTGTCAGCAGCTCAATATGAGCCCTAGGGATGCAAGACGGCTATAGGGCATCATATATAAAATTTGGTTGCAGAGACTGGCCTCCTGCATTATCTGGTGGTGCACAGATTCCAGCTGATAGTCATAAAGCAAGCTGCAACCGTTGTAGCTAGGGCACCTTATACCAGTGCAACCTTTGTAGTTTGTGCTAGTACACTACTACTGCAAAAGTCTTATCAGTGGGATATAATACTATATAGTGGTCAGCCCAACGTAGGACATACGCATTGGTTGTTCTTCACACATGGCCGGCTGGACCAAGCACTATCTATCTAGTCTAGAGTATACGTCGGAATCAGCGACGACGGCCGGCCGTCGACAGCCATCTCAGGACGTAGCTGTCTCTACTGTGCAGTGCTGCTAGCTACTCATGACAAGCAGTGTCGGCCTTTATCTTCTCGGCACTCTTCTGTTCTGTTCCGTTCCGCTGGCCTCGTGCAAGCAGAGGATCCTGGAGACCGAGAGTAAGATTCGTGAGCGCGTTAGTTAGTATATATAAAAGTGGTTTTCACTTTCGTCACTTATTTTTTATTTCAATGCTACGACTACATAAAACCAGACACCACTACGGTCCGTACGGCCAAGGACAGTTAGTAACAAAAAAATTCTAGCTAGTGGTGATCTATGTAGTATGATCATCTCCTATTTCTACCGGCGGTTAAAGCTACCACCACTAGGAATAGATAATTTTATTGCCTGTAATTTATGTCGACCTCCAGTACGAATACCTTATTTATGGAGGTGGTTTTCTTGAGGCGATCACTACTGAAGTCAACTTCTCGTGGCGGTTGCTTAAGACAACCTCCTCTAGGAATCCGATTCAGTACGACGCAAATATAAAATTGATAACTTATATTCATATTAAGTCAGATGAAGACAAATGTTGTATCAAAGCTGTAGAGCTCGATGTTATCTACAGCTCTGTAGATGAAAACGTTTCATTTGAAATCATTTATGTGCCCAAATATTCATTACAAGCTCATATATCTATTTTAAAACATATTTTTCGTGAACAAATTTCAAAAGTGGTTGCTTAAGTCAACCACCTCTAAAAAATGATTTCTACAGGTGGTTTGGCAACACGGATAAGCCAAAATCTACCCCAAAAGCTATGGTGAAGGAGATCGAGGTCATGTTCGGCAAGAAGATAATGAAGGGGAGCACACGGAAGAGAAAGAGGAACAAGATGGGGGAGGGTGTTCCTTTCAAAAAGTAGTCAATTTTCCTCAAATATCCTTTCAAAAAGTAGTCAATTTTCCTCAAATACTAGATGGACTTGGAGGTGCCCTATGCCATCGTGGTATGCACTGGGGAAGAATATATTTGAAACCACAATTGGTCACCTCATAGACATCAAAGGAAAGATAAAGGATGGACTCGAGTCACAGATGGACCTTGCCAATCAAGGCATCATACCGGAGCTTCACCTGGAACTACTGCTGAATGAGAAATTCAGCCTCTCTGCTGCTAGCTACAACATGACTGCAAACAAGAAGAGGGTGGTGTCTCAGTTGCTCGGGGGTGCCAATCAGTTTTTCTTCATCCAGCATCAACCAGACCATAGACGAGAAGAGATCATTGTGCCAGTGGCTGAGGGGGGCTATTTAATGCACTCGCCCCTGTTGATGAATTAATATAAGTGGGCAAAAGCCGGCCGCCTCTAGAAATGGCCGATTAACAAAAACCATTTGCCAGATGCGGCTGGCGGTTACAGCCTCGTTTTTAATTTGCTTGCCTCTCTGAAAATACTTTTTCTCTAGACAAGGGATGCATGGCACCCCTATATAATAAGCTCAGGGACTTGAAGCAAATTTTGAAAGTAACAAGTTTCGGACCCCTCATCTATCTCCAACATGGCCCATGCTGATCCGCTTGATCATCGTTGACCTCGAGACCTTATTGCGCGCACCATCACCTAGGCACCTAGCGAATCAGCAAGCACTGGACCAGGCCACCATCTGCTCCACAGCGCCAATAGGATTCCTCGGATTTGGAATCGACCAGTCAGCCCAAACAACGACTTGCCTAGATGCCTTTGGTGCACACATATATGGCCCAGCACACGCGGTCCGAAAAGGCGCGAGCGCACTGGTGGAAAATGCGGCCAATCCATACATCTGTTGTGACCGATCGTGTTTGTGTATATATGGTGATTGGAAAAGCGCAGCACAGCTTCCTTGGCGTTGGACGCCCGCATGCTATAAATACCGGGTCCATGCAGCTGCGTGAGACACAAGCTGGTAGGCAACAGCAGGAGTACAACATACATACATAACCCAGCACAAAACATACACACCTACTTGTTAGTTACCGCACAAACATAAAACAAAAACCGAACGATGGCGCCGATGAAGAACAGCCATGTCCTGGCTGCTCTCCTCCTCATCGCCTGCATCGGCCATGATGCGGTGGGGGCCATTATTCCCGCTACGGTTAGCACCGCCATGGCCCTCGTCTTCGGGGTAGTACCATGCAGCACCGGGAGCTTGATCAACGCGGTGACCGCCCCGCCGTTCGCTAGTAAGTATATATAATAGCAAATAATGTGTCCATGTGGTGTAACGGGGCCTAATACACTTTGAAATCTTTTTGTGTCATCACTGGACGTCACGGGAGTGGTTCTATAACTTAAGCACCGATCGATTATGAGTCCGGATCACATACAGGATATAGTTGAAGGGCAAAAGGATATTTTAAGAATAAAAATCATGTTCTAAGAAATCCTTTGCTCTTTAATATTAGCTAGCCTAGACTAGAGTGGAGTGTGTGTTGTTTGTGTGTTTTCATTTGTTTTCTTGTTGTATTTATTATAATTTTAATTACGTACGTACGTGTCCAGCCAGACGCCAGCCTACAGCTGCAGTGCGGCATTCCGGCTCTGTCCCGGTCTAAACCGGCTAACATCGCGGTACGTAACAAGACCTTCCCAATGACTTCAACATTCCTCTTTTTTCTTTCGAGTGAAATTTTTTTACTCTTTTACTTACAATTTTATTTAAATTGGCCGGCCAGGAGATGCAAGGCCGGAGCAGGGGCAGAACTGGGCCTGTCGTCTCCGCCTCCGGCGTTACCGTGTGGGCCAACGTGAGGGCAGACAGCAACGCCGCCTTCATGATCAGCCTGGGCGTCATTCGCAACAGCAGCGGCGGCCTGCTCTCCTCCATGCTGCTGGCCAACCAGTGCAGCGTGGTGGTCACCACCCCGTTGGCCGCCTGCAACGTGTCCCTGGCCGGCGTCACTGGCACGCTCAGCGCGCCGGTTCAGGTCCTCGGCGACGACGTGCTCAGCAGCGACATCGGCGTGACCGGTTTCGTTGCCGGGCGTTTCTCCTTTGTTGATATATAATATATGACGACCGGGCTCGTGATAGATCGGCGACGATGCCACAAGGACGTCTATGGGCAGTACATAAATAAAGTTGCTACGAATAAACCAGCACACAGCATGCAACTTGAACAACCTAGCAAGTTAATGGTCAAGTTGCCATGCTCTCGTTCGTCCTTTGTTGTACCACGTCGTCCACGTGTTACGTTATTATATGTATATATGTATGTATATACCTGTACCGTGCATTTTAGTACTAATAATAAGCACGAACGTACGTATAACATGCTTGTGTAATGCACTTTGTTGTTGTCTCGTCCTGTTTTATTCTTGTGAAAAAATATAAAATCATGCGTGCCTCGTTATATTGTCATCTTTGGACTTTTTTTTATGTGAAGAGGAGGGGGTGCCCCCCCTACTGTGCTTTTATTAAAAACTTGAGCAGTTCTTACATCGAAGGATCATGATACAAAGAAGGAAACAAAGAAGATTAACAAAATTACACATAAGCTTCTAGACATTGAGTAAGTAAAGGAGCTAAACTATTTTTTGCTCTAAGAATAACTTGAGCAAATTCTCTTCTGAAGATCAGTTTGCAACTCTGAACTGAAGGCTGCACATTCCTGAAGATAGCATAATTTCTGACAGTCCATGTTGACCAACACATGGTGACAATAATTTCCATGAAAAAGGGTTGATGGAGCTGCTGTCTGAAGGAATCCAAAGTCCCAAAGGATCTGAAGGTTGCTGAATTATCAGCCCAAGAGTTGCCCAGCAGGCTTATGAAAAAGGACAGGCTAGAAACCGATGTACCAAAGTTTCCTCGGTGATCAAGTTACATAGAACACAATTATAATCATCTAGCACCATGGTTTTTCTCCCCAGTACTTCCCCTGTACTTAGTCGATCTTTAAGGAGTAACCAGAAGAAGAACTTTGTTTTGTTTTGACAGCAAGATTTCTAGAGCCAGGAAAAGACAGGATGTACTTGTCTGGTGCCAATTAGATGCACATATGCACGTTTAGAAGAGAAAAGGCTAGAGTTCCAAATATAAGACCATGTGTCAAAACCTTCTGCCAGGACCAGAGATTGAACTAAAGCTCTAAGCTGAGTGAACTGCTGGAAAGCCTCTTCAGACAAAGGCAGGTGAAAATTATCATGAAGATGGGTTGACTGACAAACTTGCTGAACAGTGACGTGTTTGTTCTTGACAAAAGAAAAGAGTTCTGCCATACTAGTGCTGAGAGAGAAACCATTCCATGAATCAAGCCAGAAAAAACATGGGGAGCCATTTCCAACTGCTGCCATAGCCATACCTTTAAATGCAGGCAGAAGCTTCTGAATGTCACGCCACCAGAAAGAGCCCTTCCTTGAAGATTCAGTTGGAGGTCTTCCATTTGAGTATCTCATTGTCCACACTAAGTGAACCCATGGAATATCCAATCTATTAAAGAACTTATGCAATTTTTTTAGAAGCAGACTCTGATTATGTGTATGCAAATTCAAAATTCCCAGACCTCCACTTTCCTTTGGGATACAAGCCATGGGCAAAGCTGCCTTGGGTGGCTTTTTACTATTAACATCAGAGCCACGCCATAAACAATGCTTATGAAATTTGTCAATTTGTTTGATGACCGTCTTTGGGAGGAGATAGGTGGACATTGCAAAGGTTGGAAGGGCACTGAAAACTGCATTTGTTAACTACAATCTACCAGCTTGACTTAGAAAACCTGAAATAGTCACTAGCCTTCTCTCACATTTTGAAACCAGTGGCCAGTAATCAGCAACTGTTGGCCTAGTGAGGCTCAGAGGCAGCCCTAGGTAAGTGAAAGGTATAGATCCTTTGGAACAACCCAGAGTTCTTGAGAGGATTTCAAGCTTGTCATCAGCAACATTCATAGGGGCCATCATGGATTTGTCAAAATTTACCTTTAGGCCAGTTGATTCAGCAAAAAGAATTTAGCATAGCTTTCAGGAAAAAAGCTCCCTTGCATCAGCCTTCATGAAAATTAGTGTGTCATTAGCATATTGCAACACTGGAAAATCCTGACTGCGTGGGAGAGGTACTGGCAGAGATAGAAGACCATGTTCTCTGGCAGAGTTAAGAAGATCCTGCAAGAAATCAGCAGCCAAAACAAAAAGGAGAGGTGAGAGGGGGTCCCCCTGTCTGACCCCCCTCTTAAAATGAAAAGTTTTCCCTTTAACTCCATTAAGGATGACAGCAGAAGTCCCAGAATTGAAAATGAGATGCATCCATTGAATCCGTTTGTCAGGAAATCCTTTTTGTTCCATAATTCTAATCATCAAATTATGCTCTACCTTATCAAAGGCTTTTTCAAAGTCTAGCTTGAGAATGACAATCTCCCTCTTAGACTGGTGACAAAGGTGCAGGAACAACAGGGACCAAGCCAAACAATCTTGTATGCATCTATGCTTGATGAAACCATATTGATTTGTACGAATAATTTGTGGGAGTAGCATCTGCAATCTGTTAGCCAGCAACTTTGTAATAATCTTCACTAAAGTGTTCAACAGAGATATAGGTCTGAAATCATACACCCTAATAGCATTATCATGCTTTGGCACCAGAGTAATCAAAGATCCATTATAATACTCTGTTAGCAAATAGCTCCTGAGTAAAAAGCATTGCAAAGTCTATAGAAATCCTCATAAATTATGGGCCAACACTTTTTGGTGAAGTCAGTGTTGAAACCATCAGGCCCCGGAGCTTTGTCAGAAGGCAATGACCTGACCACCAAATCAATCTGTTGCCTGTCAAAAGGCGCCACTAAGGAACTGAGATCAGTGGTCTGCACGGCTCATGCTCCCCGGCTCGAAGCCAATGGCATTGCCGCACGCCCGCACCTCGTACTGCACGCAGCCCGCACGCTGCAAGCAGTCTCTACGTGCCACTTGTTTGCACTAGCGCCCGGTGTACGCCGTTGGCCGCTCGCCTCGGACTGAATCGCGACGATGAGGCCGCATCCCACACGCCGTGGACGTAGTTGCCATCCGTGGCCGGAATGTAAGCTGTTTGAGCTTGTGCCTCCACACCTGCCACCATGAGCTGGGCCCGCATGCCTAGCAGATCTGGGGCGACATCGGCATCACCGCAGAGATATTTGAGGTTGCGAATTCTAACCATCGAGTTTCTTTTGTTCTCGGTTGAATCAGGCCAAGTAGGCTGAGAAAGCCTATCAGATAGCCGTCGCGGGAACGGAAGAGAAAAAAAAAGAGCCATGTAGGGTTTTTTTTCGTTTTGAGAACACAAGTTCTTCACCTTTGCAATACGATCTATATGTAATCTGAAAATTGCGTAGATCTCAAATTTTGGAGAAAAGTTTGTGTAGTAAGGGTCATATGTTTCTATACATTATGGTACTTATTTTCTGTTCATGTGCATATACCTTGTGTTGATATATTTATGTGCTTTTGAATGCATTTATTTATCACACATTATGAATCTTATACTATGTAATTGCAAGAGTAAAACTATGAATGATTACTCTAGAAACATGGTAGAAGGTATATATGAGATCACTTTAAGTCCTGCAGGCCTTAGATTTATCACATTTGAGAGGCTCATTTGTTTTACCTACATAATTTTTTTGGGATGAATGAATAATACTTGGTATTAATTCTGAAATTTGCATATACCATAATCCTGAAAAATGATAGGATACTTCTAAGAATATGTTGACTAACCGTCCACTACATTTTGCACCTTGCTACTTGTTTACATGTAGTAAACTTATATGCGCATGATCCAATTTATGTTAATATATGCATGCCTCAGAAGAAGAAGAAATTTTCAAGAATTACTCTGAATAGTAGAATTATTTGTTATGGTCATGATTAAATTCATGTAGGATATTCTGCTACCACTGAAGTGCAGTGAATTCATGATATATATTTCCTTATTACTCTCTAGAATGAGTATATGGCCGAGAGAAATAACAAATGCATTGTGGGACTCATTGCATGAGAAAAATCCCAAATTATGATTACAGAATATCATCTTGCATTGAAAGTCGAATTTTCAAGCTTGTATGCCTATAGATTTAGGTATAATGCTGCTCTGTAAACAACAACTTGAAGCTTTATATTAAATGTCTATAAGATAAGATGGTAAAAAAGATTTTAATCAATGTATATTCTCGAAAAAATGTCTCTTGTGTATAGAATATCAAATAAAACGACTTACCGTAGGACGCATGAATCAGGACCAGTCACAAAGTTCCTGGAACGATTGAGTCGTGAAATGCCGTCAGGGAACGTGGTGCGCATCAAGGGAAAGAAACGTGGTTGGTACAATGGAGAGGACATCGACTTCATCTACGATGTCACGCTTGTCGATGACGTGCGTGTCCCATGGGGAGCGACGTTGGCAGCATCATCGTCCGCTGTCCACTCCGGCGATCCAGACCTCAGTGGCGTCGAGGTTAGCTGATCTCAGCAGTCGCATCTGGAAGTGTCAGTACACACATGCATGCTTGTATCTGTAGTGTCATATGCGGCATGTTTAACTAACATGATTTATGCATGTGTGTGAAAAGATTGGTAAAATGGAGTGCACAGACGTGGATTATGACTGCTTCTTCAACATATAGAACTGTGCGAAGAATCATGCAAAGCCAGGACCAGCTCCGAGGGCAGTGCGCAATTCAGGTCAGGATGCGACGGTTACATTCCGCTGCTGCACCACACTGCCTCCAAACTAGATGCACGTGTGCATGTGGGTACGTAATTTATGGATCAGCTTATGCCTATATATATCCATCGATGATGTTTCTAATCTATAACAATAACATACTCCCTCCGTCCTGAAATATAGTGTATTCTGACAATCGAAATTTGTCCTAAAATATAGTGCAATCGGAGAACAAGAAGATAATGTTTACTTAAATAAAAATACATGATTATTTTGTATATGGAAAGTAAATCATGTGCTTGCTATATTTTGTATAAGGAGATTGAGAGTTCATCATTTAATCACGGGAATAGAATCAGGTTTCAATAGA